CATGAGACAAAACAAGAGGTCGTTTCTTGCGTTCTTTACGAAGTTTTTCTGTCATATTTGAGAGAGACGAGCTTGTTTCTGTGCAAATATTGATCTTCTGATGTAATAAAAATGCACTTATGCGGTTCTTGTAACGAAAAACGAAGCAGATTCACTTACATTGCTTTACACTAAATAGTTAGAAACAAACTATGTTAGGGTGACGTTGTTGTTTTGGATTTTCTCGCCATCCCTACTCACACATTCTTATAGTTTGCTGCACATCAATGGCTCTGTAGATGCAGCTTGAAATTCGACCAATGAAAACTACTTCTGTCTGTAATTCATAATGAATGTTCCTGGACGATCGTTTAGCATCGAAGAATACCATACAAAATTTGATCTTTTAACGAACTTTGCAACACACTGATTTTCGTATTCAAAGCGATGGCAACAAAGGCTGATTCAGATGAACTCAATATTCCTTCGTCTATCAACTCACGATGAAGATTATGAGCGACCACTAGAAGAATGAAGTTGAACGAAGACGAAGCCGTTCAGAGCAGCCGATAACGATTTTATAACCTCGCTCGACTGTGTCTGTATTTGACACGCAAGAAAACGCTTGAATCAATGAACTATTGTTTCATCATCAGTTCTTGATGATAGCTGTTATTTATTGTTCTGACGAGAGTCCTTGTTGATTATTTCAGTTTGCTTTCAGGTCAGTTTTGAATTAGTGAATAGATGATTCTGTAAGCTGAGCTGAGTAAGGTTGTGGATGTCGATGTATGTGCAGTGTAGTGCTTCTTTTCACTATACGAATAACTACACTCACACAAACACTAATCTCTGCTTCTTTACATGAAACGATCACAATTGTGTTGGTCGGGGAATGTTCTACAAATGCCACATAGTTGACTACCGTATCAAATATTTCAAGCTACATCTACAGGCCAGAGACCTGTGGGACGCCCACGAACAATCTGGCTGAAATATATCGAGCGACTCTGTGAAGAAAGTTTCAAGCTTCGATGAGGTGATGTGGGAACTATGGCACAAGATCTAGCTGAATGAAGAAAGCCACTAAACAAGCTTTAATTGTGACCCAAAATGACTAACGGACAGAAAATGAATGAATGAAAACAAACAAATTATTGAATATCTTTTTAATTAAATGATAAAACAAACGGAAAACTTCAGGATGGGCTCAACCGCACAAATAGCGTCTTCGGACTCCATAAACTACCTCTTAAAAATCGGTTTTATATAGATCCTACCAAGTTTCAAACGAATATTTTTGTTTTATCATCATCATCTAGAGATTCTGAAGAAGAATTTCTACCGTTTGGAAACTATCCTGAACTTTATATTGGTTTAAAGAAGCACTTTTTCGTTTGTATATTCATACTTCGTCATCTTTCTAACGAATAGAAATTCAACTGTTTTGAAAAATCTAGACATACTAGAAAAAACCTTAAATAGAGATTTTGAAGCCGTAGGAGTTGTCTGCATAATATACCATATAGTTTTCAAAACTACTACTTTCATTTGGAGTTTCTTGAAAAACTTAATTCCATGAAATGAGGGTGGATATACTTTTTTGTCATACTAGTAACGCTAGTTTTTACTGATAACTCTTCTGACCGATAGTGTCGAGCGTTGATTTTTTCAGGATGTCGACAGTAACTTAACATACATGTAACTTAGAAAAATTAGCTCTAAAAAGTTCATTATTTAGAAATATTACATGTGTGTTAATCATGCAAAGTCACCTCGCTAACAGTGGTTTCAACGGACTGAGTCGAGCACGATCCGGCTTTTACTAGCCGATGGAGCAAAATTCTTTTAAATGAACAACCATGGATCGAGCGGATTGATTCGGTGTTACAATGAATGTTCATGGGTTGAGTCTTGAATAAGTATAAAATTTTTAAAAGATACTGCTTATTTGCACTGAATTTTTTTAGAAAACTCCATGTAATCCTTCCATTGGCTAAAACATTTCTGCCATCAACATCAAATGTATGAAGTACAAGATAATATTATTGTCACCTTAAAACACTCTCTTTTAATTCAACAAAATGTCCTTGCCTAGCTTTCTTCGTTCAACAACAATGACACAAACATTAGCAATTACTTTTTCTAATTCTAATTCTATTTCTACAGAATTTTATTAATAACCATCAAATTTTTTTAAAAATTTTTATGCAACCATTGGTGCTGATTCATCATCGTATACAAAACAGTATACATTTGAAATGATCAAAGTTCTTATAAAACAACAATTTTTGACGTATGATGTTATTAAAATTAAAAAGTAATTCAATCTTTATGTTGGACAAATTTCGGCTTTCCAACTAAAACCATCAGACAATATTGGTGAATTCGAGAGACTTGAAGGTTTTGAAAATTTGCAAATGCATTACCGAACATTTGTTTATAGATCAACTACTGGTACTCGAAATATGCTTGCTCATTCATGTCAATTTGAACGAAGTAGAAAAGAAACTTGAAAATGATAATTGTTCACAATGAAAATCAATGAATTATATGGACTAGGCCGAGCTGTCACATCTTGATAAGAACAAGTTAATATACTTCTTGAGTGGGTGAAATTTTACTAGAGAAAGTTAGCTGAAGCTATTGAACTCGTGTCAATTGAATAATAAAAACTATATCATATTACTATGTCGCTGATAAAGAACTTGTTGTTAGAACAGTTGAACATGATCAAGAATGTAACACACAAACATTAGAAAAAAACCAAAAATAAGCTGAAAAAATATGAGAAAAGATAGTAGAGAAAAAGCCAAAGAATCTTTTAATTGTATGAAAAAGAAATTTCTGTTTTATTAACTATTACACAAAAAAGATCTTCTGTTCGTGTGAATATATAGCATAAATCAGTTTTAGTCAATTGTTCTCGGTCCTGTTGCATGTTTATTATATACATCAGTGAGTTAAAATTCTATTTTGTATTATATTTCCTCTTGTTGAAAAAGTATCACTCCATACATTTTCTAAATTAAATTTCTATTTTTATTCTTCTTATTAAGCTTCACATTACTTAGTCAACGATTCAATGCTAGTGAATATATTAAAATATTACATGCTTTTTTTCTTTCTGAAGTTTTTGTAACAAACTGTTGTCACTAATATCGATGAAATATCCAAGCGCGTCAGTCTCTCATTGGTTATCTACGTTCTACCATACAAAACAAAGACATATATATACTGTTGTCCTTATTCATTTTCTTTGTTTTATTAATTCTTCTATTGCTATTATAAATCATTTTAAAATTTCTGTGATATAAATAAATATGTATTTTGTTTTTGGTATTTTTTTCTTTTTATTATTCTTATCAACTAAAGCTCATACACCAGGCATAGTAACTGTTGATACATTTACATTCAATAAGATTCGAAAACATTTTAATGTTGTTCTAGTAAAATTCGATGATAAATACCGTATGTATTCGAAAGAGTCTTTGTTTTTTTACTTATTCAACCTATTGTTAATTGTTAATTTTAGCTTTTGGTGAAAAACAAGATCAATTTAAAAAATTTGCTCTAAATGTTGCTAATACAAAAGATCTTCTTGTTGTTGAAATTCCAATAACAGAATATGGAGACAAAGAAAATGAAAAACTGGCTAAAGAATATGGTGTTAAAAAAGCTGATTATCCTGCATATAAATTATTTCTCAAAGGCAAATCTAAACCAATAGATTATACCGGTGATAAAACTGAAGATGATCTGAAACGCTTTCTTTTACAACATACAAGTAAAGAAAAAAAAATTTATTATTATGTTTTTTATATATTAAAAAGCATTATTCTAATTAGATCTTTGGTTTGGTTTACCTGGCACAATCGAGGAATTAGATCGTCTAGCTCAAAAATTTTTTTCTGCATCATCAAATAATGATACAACTATGCAAAAATCTTTATTAGAAAAAGCACGTAAACAAGTCAAACAATTAGTTGATAAGAAAGAACAGAAAAGGTATGCATTACTTGAGAATGTATATTAAATATGTTATGTCTTCTATTTAGTGGTGAATCGTACGTAAAAATCATGGAATCGGTCGTTAAACAAGGTACCGAATTTCTTAAACGTGAAGGAGGACGTGTTCAAAATCTTCTAAAAGGAAAAGTAAATAATAAAACAAAAACGAATTCTCATGCAAACTCAATGATGATACTCGCCATGCTAATGCTGAGGGAATATTCTTGATATTTATCGAAATTTTTCACTATGAATATATATCATTATAAGTGCATATTAAATTCTTTATTCATTGAATATTTCGACATGGTTAGCCTAAAAATGTCGATTTGTTCTGTTTAGAGTAATTAATACGTTATTGTTTTGATATTTATTTATAGTGATCAATGAGGTTAAATCCATCGAGATTTTATTTCTCAATGAGCTCAACATCTCAAACCTGAGAGTTTGCTTTTTTTTGTTTTCTTTTTAATATATTATGTTCAATAATGAATTATTCTTATTTAAGATTACTAGTGAAAAAAAAGAAGAATTACAACATCGTGCAAATATTCTTCTCTCATTTAAATCATTGAAAGAATCAATAACTGATACCGTTGATGTTGTCAAAGATAATGTTGGAAAACAAAGGAAAGAAACAATTACTGGTGATAAAGATTTGTGAAGACAAATGTGAACAATGATATCTTTTGTGATAGATTGATTTTTAATTATATTTACAAAAATAAGCTTATTGTTTGTGTGCACTATTATGTCTGTCAATGAAGTAGTAGTAAAAAATCAAAATTGACTAGCATTTACTTTTGTGACAATTTTCTGTATTGTGCTTTTTGTGTTGCAAATTTTTAATTATTTGTGTTGCTACTTTTTGAATGCAATATATAAATATATACATATACATATATATAATATACAAAAAACAACCAAATTAATAATTTGAAGGTTTTATTGAATTGTGTATGAGAAATAACAAGCATGTGAAAGTTAAAATACTAGAAATCTTTCAGATCATGCCACTTTCGTTTGATTGGCCATTTCCAGAAAGACCATCAATATTTTACAAGGCAGCTTCGACGTTAACCATTGGTCTTGTTGGATCACTTAGCAAATTTTGGATGAGTGAGTGAGAAAAAAAAATGGATTGATGCAAACATAGAAAATGTGTTCATTTTATAGAATATCTGACTTCAGTGCGCATTGAAAATGGTAAGCATAGTTATCTATTTGACCTTGCATTGATTATTATGTTATTTTAAAAAAAGGTGAAATTCTTCTCGATGCGGTATTAAATCGAGATCCAGACCGACCATTAATTACTGTAGCGAATCATCATTCGTGTAAGATTATTTATAGTTTTACTGTTATTAATAACATCATTAGACGTTTTTTTTGTTCGAATAGGTATGGATGATCCGTTGTTGATCGGTATATAAAACGGTAGTTTTTTTCCTCTCTGTCTTTTTCGTTGATATTTCATTAACAGTTCTATTTTTTCATGCTGTTTTTTTTTGATGAAACTGTATATTTTTATAGGAGCTACGATGCCACTTCGTATTTTTTGGAATCGTCATCGAATGCGTTGGTCTTTGGGTGCTGATGATATTGTATTTACAATGAGAAAACATCAACTTTTTTTCAGTTTGGGTAAAACAATACCAGTAACACGAGGTGATGGTGTTTATCAACAGCCTATGGATTTTGCTCTCAAACAAGTTAACCAAGGTGGATGGATACATATCTTTCCGGAAGGTATGCATTTTTTTGCAAAGGATATTTTTCTGTAACTCATTTTGAATTTAACTTTTAGGAAAAGTTAATTTAACAAAAGAACCCATGAGACTTAAGTGGGGTAAAAATAAACAAAAAATTGATCTTTTCTTATAACAAATAATATAATTTTGTAGGTGTTGGTCGACTTATTGCTGAAGCTAATATTTGTCCATTGGTTGTTCCATTCTATCATCTCGGTAAGAATATTTTCAAGATATTGTGCAATCATAAAAGTATTTCATTATTAGGAATGGATTCTGTATTACCCAATCAAGAGCCTTATACCCTTCAAATGCGGAAAAAAGTGAGTATTTATGTTGGTGAACCATTAATCTTCGATGAGCTTGTACAAAGAATGAAAAAAGAAAATCGATCACTGGTATGAAATACAAAATGTTTCATATTATTAATTTCAATTAAGTGTGTTTTTCATTTTTTCTTTTCAGCAAGAAATACGTAAAGCTGTAACTGATATAATTCAACACGAATTATATAAACTTAAGATAAAATGTGAAGAACTACATCGACATCATCTATCCAGCGATTCTTCGTCGCCATAGAAAAAGATTGCATTTTTTTCGTTATTTTTTGGTCCTTGTGTGTTTTTGTAATTGTAGGACTCGACAAAAACATAAAATGATTGTAGTTCTGTTCTGTTAGAAAATTTTCACATCATAACAAACTAAATGATTTATATCTAAAAGAATATGAATACTCTTAATTCACATTCTGTTCCTGCAATTAAATATATAGTTTATTAAAGCCCAAGTTGGATCAGATCACATCAAAAATTTTGACCTCGAGTCTAGCCGAGTGGGCTCGCAATAGTCTGATTGATGTTCAATTTTTTACAAGACTGAAAACAATTCAAAATGAGATGAAAATTTTGTTCTTTTGAATTTTGAGAACTCATATAGGTTTAGAGTGGATGTGGATGTTCACTTCCATTATCTACCTACATCCTAAATATCAATTTCTCGCCAGAGACCGAATTGAGTCAAATATAACTTTCTTTTTTCGATTCAACAGCCATCTCTTCATTAACTATCAAACACGAACAATAAAATTCACTTTAGCATAGAGTTTATGTTCTCTATATATTGCATTGTTGCAAACTCTATCAATCTCTTTAGATGAGAAGTCTACTAACCGTTCAACAATTGCCTGTGTTTTCAATATAAAAAGTCGAATTCTATTGAATTATTCTAAGTTCAATAATTTTAAAGGAAACAGATATTTATGTATGTGCTTTCATGACTACTTCTCGTTCCACATATCTAATAGGGTTTTCTGGTTTTATGCAGTATTCAGAGCTATCAAAAAAGCTGTACAATTTTTCCACCCTTTTAATCGGTACATGCATAGAGTTTCATTATTGGTATGGTAAGTATTTGCTGCTTAGGTTGTATGATCAGCAGTACATTTATAAATAAATGTAGACTTTGTGATTTATTACTCTTCTACATATCCTAATTCGATAATTAAGGTGACAACTAACATTGAAACACTTGTCTGACAACCAAATATTGGGGTTTTTTAATTGAAAGGTTGTGCAATTGATCCAACCCAGATAATGGACTACTAACTGCAATTCGGATCAGAGAATAAAGATAGAGTTTGAGTGAAAATAGAAATTAATTTTCACCTTTTTATAATATGAACGTCTTCCTTCAAGAAACAGATCATTATAGCATCGTTAATTATTCACATTGAGAAACTACTACCTTCACCGATTGATAAAAAAAACACTTCTTTTTATAGTACACAAAGCATAATTAGTACTGTAGCTTGGCTTTGAAGTTTCTAAATTTCTCTAAATTGAAAGATTTAACATTTAGATAAACGAAAACCTAAGTGAAACTTTATGTGAGATGTAGATACGTTTTACATATGATAATGCAGGAATTGTCTTTGTTTTCGGTATGAATCAAATCGAATCGGAATCGAGACATTCTTATTCATTTCAGTCTCTAATGTCTACACCATTTGACGAATATTCCAAGGCTAAGATATATAAATCTAGAAGAAACTAATGAAATATTTTTGGTGAACAAAATAAAACTTTTGAATTCGGCATAGTGAACCACGTATTTGTTGTAAAACTGATCATTCATTTTTAACTAAAAATATTGGCTTTAACAAAGATTGTCATGTTTTTCCTAAAAGTACCGATATTATGAATCTTGTGAATAAATCCAGTTTTGCTTGATTCATAGTTGGGGTAAAATAAATTTTCAGTATATCTCTCAATAGTTTTATCCAGTCGAATCCAAATTAATGTTGAAATTTCCTTACAATCTTCAGCATTATCTATCACAGTAAGGTCATGATAAAAGAGTTATTTGATCTAATAAAATGACAAAAACAATTATTCTAAGAATTTTCTAGTAGATCTTTTTAAGTTTTGCCTTTCATATCTGATCGAAATTTTGGAAAAAAAATAACAATTGAATTTTAGTTTGTAAAAATAACTTGACTTAGTATCAAACAGTTAATAATAGTATGAATGACCCTTAAAAGTTTACCGATGAATGTGAATAATTATAGAAATCTATGTTTCGATGGAATTTCTTTTGAAAACTTTTCATTTAATATTATATTTGAACTTGAGAAGGTGTGGATGGAGAGAAAACACATCTACACCCTTCAAACCTGGTATGTGATCTCTATCGATAGAATTCACCAGTAATCGAGTGACATGTATAATACCTAATTTATGCTCACTTACATTTTACACTGAAAAAACATAAGAAAAGAAAAAGCAAATGGAAGGAATGAAAATTTGATTATAAAAGTGCAATTCAGAGGAACACGCGAACGTCACAACGCATCGGTTAGTCGTATTGTGAATTATTTGTATAGTAAATAAACATGTCACTTTATTCAACAGAAGTGGGCTTCTTCGTGCATAGAAATTATTGTAAGATACAGAGGCATAACTCAACACTATAGACAAGTAGACACAGTGATTGAGGCCTAGAAAAGGAGTATTGTGCGTGTATAATTTTCGAACACAACGAGTGCCGTTATGTAGACGAGTTTCAGAAGCACGAAGAGTTATCTCTCCCATAAGACGTTGAAAAAAAAATTCACTAGATTTTTAGTGTCCTGGGACTAAAAAACAAATAAGAATTATGGGTGATGATAGGATTGTTATAAAAAAAATTGAATGCTGAAATTGCAGACAACATTTTTGATGGCAAGAAAAATTACGAAATCAAGTATGATCAACTGATTACAGGTCCAACACTAACAATCCTTTTATATAAATTTAAAACAAGCAAAATAAGCCCTATGTCAAATGTATGCTATTCGTTCAGTCAGAAGTCTCTTTGACATTCATCAATAAACTGCTTCTTTCTTCTTTTCTTCTGTGCAAGCCTTTTTCTAAGACTGTTTGATCGTTTGTTTTTTTTTTGCTTATAGATAAAATGAATTTTTCTTCTTTTTCTTTGTTTCTCTCGTTTGTCAACTAATGAAACCACTTTGTGTTTTCCTTTAAGACTTCTTTCAATAGTGTATACACTCAATTCCTTGAGAAAAGCAAATAAAGAAAAAAAGCCAAGACAATGCCAATGGTTGTAAGAGCAACGACGACAACAAATGCTCGTGGTCGAAAGCAACGACTTGCCTTACCTCCGAAGAATAAATCGAATGAACTCGACGTTGATTATCTTCGAGCTCTCAAGGTTTTTATATATTTTTTCAAAACTGTAATGATCTAAATTGGTATAGGGTTCGATAAATAAGAAGAGGTACTCTCGTACACAAGATATAAAATCTAAAATATAAATTTCTCTCATGACGTAATAGCCCTATATTTTTTTCTTGAGTCTTTCTTGATCAATGACCATCGTTTTCTGTCATTGAATAGCAATTATTATCATCTGTCTCTGCTTAACTTCCCTATTTCACAAAAAAATTAGTTCGAAAATACTAACTTACTCTATCTGACTTTGGATGCTGTGTAATGTCATTTCTGTTACATTTTAAAACTTTTGTGTTCTTTGTATACTCATTTCCGAATCTCTCGTATTAGAACTTTAAGTCTTAGAGAAATTCAACAATATACTAATTTATTAAAATTTGAGAGTTTGATTGATTGTCAAATAGATAAGTGGTTTATATTATTATTTCAAATATATGAAACTTATATTGATACACTCCATAATTGCCTAAAATCGATAGGTCTCGAACAGCCATTCATCTGCGATATTCCAAGTAATACAAACCTGTTTGATTAACATATCTTTCCAGGATTTTTTAACGAGACTCCTACTGTTACAGCTCTGATCTCATTAACTCTTCTATCACAATTCAGAATTAACTTTAAGTTTTCGGTAGATTTCCTAATGTGCCAAAAAATCAAAATAAATAAAAAATGCTGAAAAAAGAACAAGAAATCCGTAGCATAGTACATTATATTTTCTTTCTATTAATGTAAATGTACATATATCTTTCAGGTAATCGATCAAACTTGTCGACGGCAAGACACAATTCCTACTATTGTAGAAAAAACTCCTCGTAGACCTGATGCTGTCGAACAAAACAAGTCCAAATCTTTCTATCAATTATCATCAACATTAACACCTATTGGCCAAGAAGCGATGATAAAAAGCTATGAGGATACACTTGTTTCTCATCTAACCAATGTTTATTCATCAAAACGTATAGGTACTATATTACCACGTCTCCATACTGCTACATTTCGTCATCGATTACCGATGATAAAAAAATGTGATCAAAATCATGTAGATAATATTCATCGAGCTCAAAATTTAATTGATAATATTATTAACAATGATTTTCCAAAAGAAGATATACTTTGTGATTATGTTAGATGGCAACAACAATGGACGAAAAATTTTGTATAAGTTATAATTATATTTTACGTATACAAAATAAAAAAACATTTTAATTCTTTACTTCGTTTTCTCGCACCTTACATCGTTATATACATTTTTCAATTTTATCAGTAAAGAACATGTATCAATCATATCTACTTATTGCATTAACTGATGTTGAAATCAACGAAAGCCAAAAAAACTTGATAACATAAAATTGGTAGTGTCCGATACTCATAGAATTCTTTTCGTAGTATCATCAAAAAGTAATTCATTAGTGATTTCAACAACTTCGTAAACATAAAATGCTCGTGGTTTCAACTGGAATCGGATATGATTTTTAGAGTTAAAAGTTTTCATGAGTTCATATATAATAAAATAAAAAGTCTATGAAGAAGAACAGTTGCCGATTTAGAAATAACTATTGCCACAGCGAAACTAGCACATCAAAAATAGTAACAACATTATTTACTATTCTAGATAGTCATACCTTAGATTTACTTGAGAAAGTTTTTGAAGTTTATGTTATCGAAAAATCATACACATATTATATACAGTAATATAAATGATTGTATGAAAATGAGAAGAATAATAAACTAATAGATCATATTTTATAGAACGATTGATATTGAAAAAAACAATTCAGTAAGGTTTCAGATTTAATTCACTCGGTTATTTTTTTTATAGAGATTGTGTTATTAATTACATCAAAACAA